GCTTCAAGCGTTGTGCGCGCCGGACACAGCATGCCGCCAACTGGCAGAGATTGAGCAACGTTTTCCAATGTTCGATGTTGTTTTTGGAATTTGTTCCATTCTTCTTTGTTATTCATGTCTACTTCGTTCACAAAAGCGTTACAGAAATGTCGAATTTCTATGGCGAAATCGTGGATTTCGTTTTTGAAAAAGCTGCCAGAACCACCTGAGTACTAAACGCTGCTGCAGATGACTTGTTTATGTCTTAGCGTCTCTTCTGAACGCAAATTACCCTCTTCCTGAATCTCACGATTACTCACGGCTAAGAGACAACTCAATTGCCGCATTACTGGTGAATCTCTACATCGACATAAATTTGTCGATGGCACTTCTTAAACTTTTCCATAGCTTTTTTCAGGTTCCACTTCACTCATGCTGTCATAAGTCCGCGAATAAGGCATGCATATTTATTTTCTGCTTCATTTTCCTGTAAATTGAGCATTTACTGAAGCCATTTCCACTTGCGGTATGGACTACGTGGAGTCTCCGCAGATGCCTCGTACGATGGAGCTGGCGCCTAAAAAAGCTTCATTCTAGCTTGTACCACAAGCTGTTGATTTTCTACCTGCACGGCCGCTGAGGGTTCGTATGAAGGCGGCTCGACAGACACCGGCTTCTCACCGGCACCGTATTTGTTAACGCCCAAGCTTCGTTCCGGGCATTTACAGTAGGAGCCGTCAGGTCCAGGTTGTCCTAGACGATTTCGATGTGTTTTTGAAGCCGCTCAATCTGTTAAAGCGAAGTCTTACCTGGAGCTCCGGCAACACCTTGCTGTCCCCGTTCTCCTGGCAAGCCAGGTGGTCCTTGAGGTCCAGCAGGCCCGACCTCGCCTGTAACGAAGAAATTCTGCTAGGGAGACTTTATGATAGTTTCTTGTGCTAACCATCGTTTCCGCGTTGTCCGTCACGTCCAGGATATCCAGCAGGTCCCTTCTGTCCTTGTGGTCCTGGCTCTCCCTTCTCTCCAGGTGCTCCCTTCGCACCGCGAACACCTTCTCTACCAGGTACTCCTGG